ACCCGTTTGAACACGTCCATGACATACGAATGGATCAAGTATCATTCAAATATTTGAGACAATTCTAATTTTGTATAATAATGCATAGTGCGTGAGAACGTACGTAGCAAGTGATATGATAGCGGTTTTTTCTTGTTATTCTGATATCACGTTGTTTTTTTTTAGAGACGTGATAATTCACGTCAATTAATGCCATATTTACCTTTGAATTTGTAAATTTGAACTTTAACTAATATCTGATAAAAAAGTTATCAGTTATTATCGATTGAGCAAGCTATTAGTGTCATCGTTATTGAGTTGTAAACAGGCATTTTTGTCATGATGCGAACGTTATGAATACGATAGCGACACGTTGTCGACCATCTCACGTGAATTACTTTAATTTTCGGTGACAAAGATTAGCTAAATCGATTTCAAAAATCTCACAATCCTTTAATGTTTATTATCCCAAAGTTTTACGGCATGATACGTCACGTGAAAATTTTTTTCATTGTGTATTTCCACATGAACACATTACCAACATTATCACGTATAGTTACATTGAAATACACGGACAAAGTTGCAAAGTTTTCTTTCTAATATCAAATTTTCTAATATCTCTTTTATATAATCATATTCTTTTCACTAACTGTTTAATCGAACATTTTGCACGTAACACGTTGGAAGCGTTTTTGTTACTATTTTAAATAGGCAACAAAGTATGTGGCTTTTGTAAATTTTTAAGTTTTTAATGCGTGAAGCTCGCGTTTTTTTTTTTTAGATTAGAAATACTGAGCAATTACAATCAATTTTGCCTTTATAAATCCGCGTATTTGGAGCAAGAATTCACGCACATACTCACTTTTAGCGTTCTTATTGTTTTCATACATTCACTCACTTTAACCATATGCACCAATTCCAGCTACAACACTTCACGTGTCATCACAAAATGGGAGTTCTCCGACAAAATTCACGTTTGTTGACGACTAATTATATCACTTTGGATGAGTAAGCTCACTTTTTTTCCTTTACGAAATATTTCTTTAGAACGATTCATTAGTGCTGCATTTATCACTTACTGTTTTATAATTTTGACGAATTGGATGAAGATGGGGTTTAATCAGGAGATTGCGGAAAGACCGTTATCTTTTGTTGGAAACCTGAATTCTTATTGCAGTTCGAAGGAAAAGAGGCGAATTAGGTGAATTTTAACAGTACATATAGTAAAGGAATTAAGAGAAATCACTTTTCAGTTACTTGATTGATGATGAAAGTGGAGATGAAACTCAGACCGAAAATGATATCAACGAAATTACCGTGCAGAAATTCACGCTTCAGCGAAGAAAGCAAAAAATAAGTTTATTTGGTTTAAATTTCAGATTGGTAAAGTATTCTGTTTAATTTTTGGAATTCATATAATTAGCAATCAAACAGGATGAAATGGAATTTTATCGCAGTCTTAGTTATTTCAGTGAAAAGGTTCGAGTTACGGAAGAAATCGATGAAAAATTTTCTTTTTTAGGATGGACGCAATATAAGGAAGGCACATTGGTTTAATGATATAACAGGTGAATTAAATACAATAAAAAAGGAGCGAATGGGCGCACGAAAGCAACGAAGATATGAGAATGGTTTGCTTTTATTGGTCGAGTTATAGTTTAGCTTCCTGATTTGGCAAAGTAGCACGACAATATTCATTTACATTGAGCGTCATGTTTTTCATTGTTGGACAAATTGTAGTTGTTAATTGCACCGTTTGTAGCATAAGTGATCTGTAAAAATGTTTGGTGTATTAGAGTTAGTTCACTTCTTATAAGCTGTTCCATAGTATGGCTGCACAATTTTCTTGAAGAATAAGGTTGAATGATAAGAATTATCAATTCATATTTTAAAGCTCTATGAAGGTCCATTTCTAAATTCTTATGTGTTTGTAGCACAATTTTTATATTCGATGGCAGACGCAGGAGATATCTGCGAAGATTATTCCGATATCTTACAGTCAACAGTAACAGCTCTTTCAAAACTTTTCATTGAAGAAGAAAATATGCAGGTGAAGTCGAGTTCTTGAGCAGTTTGATTCGTTTGATCTTTAGAATTTTGGCGCAATAGTTCCATGAATTAGCACAAAGCGAACTATTCAGGCTTGGAATACTTTTATTGAAAAGAATGAAGAAGAACAACGAGAATACTTGGAAAGTTTCGAGACAGAGGAAGTGTCTTCTCACCAGGGAGTTGATAGTTTTGGACAACAAACTTCTGGTGGTTCGTTTCCGTGTTTGAATTTTGTTTTCAAAATATAAATCGTTAGAAAGGTGCTTGTAAGAATGCTTTTGCCATGTTTAGCATTGTTTATAGTGCTTGGATAGCATTGCCGTAATTCTAGAGGCCATAAGAGAAACCATGGAACTGTAAACTGTTGAAATCTCCTTACCAACATAAAAATTCAGGCCATCCGCTACATTCAGCAGAAGCTTCGTTTTCGCGTTTAAATCGACGATTCAGGATGATATTAAGACATAAAACACTACCACTGGTGTGTTTGCTTCCATTTGTGTAAATTTGAAATATAGAATTAGTTCATCAAAATGAGGTTGTATTCGATTGTATTCGATCGGCCTTATTGCGTTTGTTGTTTGTGTTTCCAGATATTCTAGTGTGCTAACGCCTTGGTTCCTACTTGGTCTTGATCTCATATATATTTCTTGCAGGAATTTATGGCTGCAAATGAAGAGGAAATGAGAAGTTTTTTCCATAAAAATATGTTACCAATGTCGGAATGGTCTTCATCTGTCTTACCACAATTGCAACGTCTTATAATACATGCTTTATCGCAGTATCTTTCTCTAATCTCGAAAAGTAATTTTCTTGATCGGATTTCCATGGAAGTAGGAAATGGAATAACGTATTTGGAGTATTTTTGAAAAACATGCTAATTTACATACTTTTTCTTCTTTTGATACCATTACTTAGTCATCTCTCAATTCCAATTTTAAAGTTTTGCCAGTTTTAAATGCATTTTTAAGGCGTAGTTATTGGCAGTGGTAATGAGAAGCTTGTCAAAGTCCGCAATAAATACTGTTCATTTCGGCCACCTTCGGAAACTCTGGTTGACTATTTGAAACGAATGCATGGAGCTGATAAAGTTGGGAGAAAGCGCTGTTGATGTAAACTGATAATAAATATTTCAAATTTGATTTTTTGAAGTAGTTGATAGATTTAGCAAGAGATTTGCTTCTGTTCTTTATCCTCCTTCCTTACCTCCTGAGTGAATTGAAGCTATACGTTTGATATAATAACTAAGTACTTTTACTGTTTTGATAAGGAACTAGTTGCGAAAAAATCGTGACACTCCACACTGAATGGCAATTTCTATAATTTTAACCATTTAATGTTTTTCGAAAACATATTTCAGTTAATTTGGAAGTATTTCTGTTCCGTATTTTTTATTTCGCATTCTTCGACTGCGCATGTGCAAAAGAACATGGTTCATTCTTTTTTTTTTTTTCACTGCAGAGTAATTTCATGATATATTCATGTGTTTGCAATTTTTACTGACGATTTTGATTATGATTTCGAAGCTTTTCTTGTATTTTATCCTAGATAATATTTAATTTTCGTTTACTAAGAGTTTTAAATTCAATCATTAATCCACGAATTGGAATAACTTTGATAAGAATTTGGAAATTTTTATATTTTTTTCTACTATTTCTATTGTATATACTAATAATAATAACAGCAACAACACAGTTCATCACTTCATTGTTGTATCATGCTTTTGTACTTATTTTTTGAACTTAATTCATTTCCTTTTTTTTGAAATACAGTTGGAGAATGAAGAACTTTGTAAAATATTTTTTTTTTTAAATTCCAGCATACAATTAAGATGTATAGGATGCGCTTTTCTATATCCAAAAACGTTTCGGCATTAGACTTTAATCCTTTTTAAATTGTAGTCATTGAATGGAATAACGGAAAATAACTTGAAAACAGAATAATGATACTGCATTAATGTTAAACGTGACACTTTTGCTTATGTTTTTGAGGCATTCCCAAAAGGAATGGATTACAAAAACAGTCTTCGTTCACTTTTATTAGATTAACAGTCGAGAATAGGTATATCACTAAGAGTTATGATTTGATTATTTCACATCAGATAGGGAAATTTAGGAAGTCCTCCTGCTTACCTATCAATTTGTATTGTGAGTCGATTTTATACCTGTAAGATGGAAAAAAATTCTTAGTTTTTATTTCTACCTCTACTTATCTCCTCCTTCTTGCATCCACGAATGATTCGTTTTGTGTCGTAATTTTGCTACTTTAGTTTAAGTGGTGTTTTTTTTTTTTTTGTCTGCTACATTTCTGTCACTTTTATTGTGGATACAATGGATACCATAAAAAATACATTACAGTACCGTAAAACTACACGTTTATTTCTCCAGCAAATATGTCTTGTTAAATTTTTGTCTTTAAAAAGATTTGGATGGTAAGATAAGAGATAAAAAGGGTTAAATGTTGAGACCAGCGAGGAAGGTACTTAACGTTATCCACTTAACATTGATAAGATAATGACCACTTTACTAAAAAATCAATCTTAACTCAAGAGTTCAGGCGACAAATATTTGAATCTTTCAGTGGAATAGTTGTATAGTTATATGTTTAGGAGATAATGAGATGGAAATGGTAAAATAGTAGTAAATTAGAATTCAAGGCTTGTATTAATTAACTGGTTGAGGTTTAATTTAATTAAATAAAAGGAATATTCAGTGGTCTGTATTGTAATTTTACAAGCCTTGAAGATTAGAACTAGCCTTTTCGGCTAGTTCTAATCTTTCTATATTTCATTATCGACTACTGATTAATTGGGAACATTGAATCCATTAGCTGATACTTTCCATATCAAGTTAAATCTATTATGATAATTTTCGAACCTTATATTTAAAATTAACATTTATAGTATCATTAAAAAAAGTTTTTTATTTGCAGATAGTGAATATTTGGTCAAATGAGAATGTGAACTGAATACAGACATGATTCATTGATATCGCATCAAATCGTTCCACTTAATAAGTCATTTTTCTTTCACTTTTTGTTTTTATTTTTTATTTCTGATGGGATGATTTGATCAGGAAGATCTTTCAGGTGTAAAGGATAATTCTCATATTATTAGATGCTGTGTAATGCTACTATAATACGGAAAGCTCTTTAGCGATTATTTTATTTAGAAAAAAAGCAAACATTTAGAAAGTGTAAAAACATTCAAGATCGCACAAATATCAGACTGAAAACATGTGGTGCCACCTGTTGCCGGCTAGGTTTACGTTGAATAATATGGTACTAAGTTCAGAATGCTCTTATACCCGTTCCGATAACATCAGTCTAGATCATGGTATATTACCTCCGTGCTACCAAATAGTTGGTAATTCCGAAATGATTGTAAAGGAATTAATGGATTTTGCAGTTGGTTAGTGCGAACTCTGGAACAGGTGAGCTTAGAATAATGATAAGTCTAAAATAACAGTAATTAGCATGCCTTTATGCTTGTTTCGATAAAATCAGTCATTGTAGTGATATTTTCATGGTCTCGAATATTCTATGTTGACGAAGATTGTTAAAATTGAATCGGGATATATCAGTGGAGCAATTACTGTTCAATAAATAAGGATGTAATTAAAAGTATTGAGTTATCTTACTTGTTTGTATCCAGTATGGTGGGTTAGGTCAAGGATTAAATCAACGGAAGAAGTAGAAGAAAGAAAAAATCGGTGGAATCTATAAATTGCAATGAACCTGTAATTTCTTGTGGAGAATTCACTTTCATTTCTAGAGATGATTGCAAAAGAAAATATTTCGACCTATTTTTCCCAATTACTGCCACAGTGATCCGGTTAATGTAGTGGATTGGATGTGTTGTTATGAGAAGTACATTTAGTATATGTCTTGTTGTTTTTTGGACTTCGCACTTTGTACCTCGTTCAACAACAATAACTAGATCAACAGCTCCTTGCCATTTTATTAAGTGGTAACTACTGCGATAGCCAGTAATATTTCGGTGTTATTACTAATATTTGATAATACTAAAATTTTCTTTAGTTCCAAGTGTCGTACAAATTACTGTTTCTGTTTATTGCCAAATTTTTAATTTAGCTGATTTAGAATTTCCTTTTTTTTTGACTCTTAATAAGCATAATTTTTCTATTTCTATAATTAAATTTTAAAATAGATCTCTATATCACAACAAATATTTCTAACACTTGTAGTATCGATTTTGAACTCTTCTAGATGCTAATAAATTTATGAGTCAACCGAAACTCTAGCAAATCTTGGAATTTTATCCAATGAAAATCCATCTCACACTCCAGAGTATCACAAATATTTGATAATCCTGATAATTATAAGATGAAAGTTTTAGTAAGGAAATAAAAAAATACATCACGAAGTCATTCGCAGTGTTGATTATGGAATTAAAGGAAGCAATGGCAGAAGCGCACAGTATTGCGGCATTGTCCGTTTCGTTAACACATGATGGTATATCGATATCGTATGATCAAGAATTACTTAATGAAATTATGCATTCATTCTTTCGAGCTTACAAGAAACGGGTTGCACGTTTTAAAGTATGTGAATTTTGAAATTAAAGCAAACTTTTGCTGAAATTTGTGGGACTTTGACAATTTTATTTATGTGAACAAATAGCAAAAGATGTAATGCGTTAATTGAGAGGATTAACACCTGTGGGAGAAAGGTAAGTCATATCCTTACCCCAAATCCGATTTTTTACTTGGAATTTAGTTTTAGTAACAACTTAAATAGAGGTATAACTGTTGTTTATTTGTTTGAATCACGAGAAATTTTGATAGCAGTCTTTTCATATAACTACTCATGGATAATATATATGTAAGGTTTTTTTTGATTACTATCTCTACTTGTCCAGTAATCTCTTGTTATGATCAAGAAGTTTGTTTGAAAGCAAAAGGTTAAAAATGAATTATCAGAGCATGTAACTGTCTCATTTAATATTTTAATGATGATGCATTTCTGAAAGATATTTTTGTCATCTTTTTTACCACTCTTTTTTTACTTCATCTTTCAAGTTGAAAAGTCAAAAAATATGAATTAAAATGTTAACTCATTGCAGAATAATTTTTATAACGGTATCTTCCCAGCCAATGCTTATACGATGTGTATAGTTATATTTGTTGTAAGCATTTTATCAGTTTCTCCCTATAATTTTTCATTTGGTATATTATATTTACTGCGATATTATATCTTCAGCTCATTTTTTGGGTAACTTTTTCTGATTTCTTTTCCATCTTTTAAAAATTGCCTGCACGGTATACTCCTTCTTTCTGCTTAAATTTCAGCTACGAATTAAATCTGACATGTACTCTGATAGCAGGGTTAGTATGATTGGTAAAAGAAGTTTCTAATTTCTAGAAAATGGTCAAAAATATGTTGTGAAGTAACTTTTCATTTGAATGTCTTGGTTGCCAAAACAATAATTATACTGCTTGCTTTTACTCAATCACAGTGCATGCAAAGAATACTTTTTATTCAGTCATCTTTTTTTAGCAGCATTGTTCTATCTTAGAACATACTATAGTTCTTATTTTTTCATTAATCTCTTCCAGTGTTAAGCACTTCAAGGAATTAAAAATAGCTGAGTTTAGTGTAACCGCATATTTAGTTAAATTTATTTTTTAAAAAACCATTTCATTTCTATAATCTGTTATCATTGTTTAATATTGCAGAGATGGAATATTTTCGCAAGCATTCTCACTAGTGTTATATGGTATTTTTGTATGGTTCATGATAATTCAAATCATTCGGCTAAGTCTCAAATGTTTTTTGCTCTATAAAGGTTGGATGTATGAAAATCCGCATTTGCAGCCAATTTCAAAGATATCAAAGTTGTGGTTGGTAAGCTGTTGCTTTACTTCTTTATCTTATGATTTCTTTTTTCAGTTAGTTGTTGCTGCCAACAATTTGCTAACTTTCGTATAGTTTTGATACCAAGTCGTCTTTTATAAGCGGCGCTTTATCACCTATATTCCGAGACATATGAGAAAATTTTCCATTGTAGACTATTCGCTGTAACATACTGAAAAATCATGAATACATTTGCAGACTGTCTTACATTTGCTATCAAAGGGCGGCCTGATGTTGCATTCATTTCAAGGAGCCTTACCTCATTTACCGTTACCGCGGCTAAACGATACTCTTGATAAGGTTAGCATTGAATTTGAAAGAGTAAAGTTCATTGCAAAAAATTTAGGAAAACTGTCATGATTATATGCGCAAAGTCCTTGTCTAGAAGATGACTACTTGGAAAGAAAAATCTAATTAAAAAAAATTTCAGCACCTTTGTACGATGCGTCCAATATGCACAGATAAAGAATATGAAGAACTAGTTCAGCTTACAGAAGAATTTCGTATTGGAGTGGGACGGCATTTGCAGTGGTATCTGATTATTAAATCCTTCTTTTCGATCAACTATGTTTCAGAATGGTGGGAAGAATTTGTTTATTTGCGACAGCGTTCACCGATAATGATTAATAGGTAGGTTTTTTTATCCAAGAAAATTAAAAACAGTTTTTTGAATAATTTATTTTCCAGTAATTACTATGGCCTGGATTCAATCATAGCACATCCGACACGTAATCAAGCCGCTCGTGCTGCTACAGTGACTTGGGCGGCGCTTTTGTTTCGCCGAATGATAGAACGACAGGAAATAAAACCGGTGAGTTGCCTAAACAAGGTTTGTAAAAATTTGAAAGAAATATTGTTTGTCCGATATGAGCGATTGATGACGGGATGTACTAATCAAACAGAATGTATTTCTTACAACTAAACACGGAGTTGAAAAAATGCTAATCGTTCGGGAAATTACCATCCTTTTTGGACAAAAAGTTTTCTGTTTACAGTTTTCGTTCTTGCCGCAGTACAAAATACCTTTTTGTACCGCGCAATATGAGCGATTGTTCAACAGTTGTCGTGTGCCATGTTTGGAAAAGGATATCTTTTGTCATTGGAGTGATGCGAAACATATTGCGGTTTATTGTAATGGCTGTTGGTACCGTCTTGCCATTCATAATGGGAAAAGGTTGGTCTTTAAGAAGCTCGAGACATATTGCCAAATACAATGCGTAAGGAAATATTTTATCGTAAATGAAACTCATCTTGAAAAAAATATATGACAGATGATATCAGAATACAATCATTATTGAAGGAACATAAAAAAGAAGTGGAATGTAAGAAGTTCAAGGAAAGAAAGAAGATAGAACCTTTATTGGAAGTTCAAACTTAATTTATTAAACAAAGAAGGTAGTTACAAAGGGTTCTTTTCTTTTTGGAACCCTTTGTTTTTTAGATTGGATTAAAGATAGAATTTTAGACAGAATGAATCATTTCCAGATAGAATCAAAAATTTGTAGGACTTTTAGATAGTATTTTAGAATTTTTAGATAGTATTTTTAGATAGAATTAAAAATTCGACATAGTTCTTTAAATGTTCAGTGTTTATGTTATTTATTCGGTAAATTTTCTCCTTTGTTCAACAAATACTGTCAGTGTTACTAACGCCCACGCTATCAGTATCCATTGGGAAACTTATTATTTTTTACAGAAAACACTGCTAAAAACATTCCAAAAAATTGAAATCCTAAAAATTCTTATTTTTTCTGATGTTTAACAAATAAATTGCCATATATGAATTATCAGGCCGATACATTTCTTAGTTAATAGTTACTTGCAAGTACTTTTTAGACCATTCACTTTTTTTTTTTAATAGATTATACGAGCCATGCGAACTGCAAAAAGGTTTTGAAGCGATATTGAATGAAAAAGTCAGCGTAGATGCTGAAGAAAGTTGCATTGCTGCTTTAACAGCCGGTGATCGAGATTTATGGGCGCAAGCACGCAGAAATCATTTTGCTTCCGGAATCAATCAATTTTCCTTGCATACAATTGAAAAAGCTGCATTTGTAATCATACTAGATGAGCAGGAAGTTTTCTATGACTCCGTATGTTATTTTTTTCTTATAATTAATTTATAATAATTAGAAAACTCTTGAAACATTTCATATTTTTTTTGATATAATGCGTTTCGATTTATTGTATTCCTAGAATTCTTGGTATTATCCTGTGATTATCCTGAAACCAATATTTTTTGCAAACACTATTCCTGATTTTTTCATTAGATTTACGACTAAATTTAGAATGACCCGTCGAAATTGGATTATTGGGCTAGTAGCCTACTTCATGGTACTGGATATGATCGTTGGTTCGATAAGTCGTTCAATCTCATCATTTTTAAAAATGGACGTTTTGGTATCAATGCTGAACATTCGTGGTTTGTCATTTTATTTATCTTGTTTATTCTGTTCCCTAGTAAAGCGGATGCTAAAACTTCGGCATTATTGATTATAGGTAAGAAGCAAAACATTCTCTCATCATTTGTAATTTCAAAGTAGTACTATCAAGAAAAGCATCGAAAATATTAATAAATATAGTCATACGATATATTCATTGTTTCTTCCATGTTATATTTCCACTTAAGATCACTTGATAAGAATAACTCTCTGTATTATTATGTCCCAAGAAATCCTATGTTGAATTATTTTTAGACCTGCTTGCTTCTTATACTTTTCCTTTACTCAACTCTTCTGGATTAAATTTATATGATTACTTGAAAAGAAAAAAAAAAGGCGTAATCTGTGGTAACCGATATACTGAATGATTTAATCACTTCTTTAAAAATTATTTTTATTGAAATTGTTCAGGCATTTTTATCGAATGACTTTAGTAAAAATAATATTTCATTATAAGTTAGTTTTCTAGATCGTTTTTCATAAATACTAATATGATGAACTAGTTTATTTGTTAAGGTAAACAATTATTACATTGAAAAATATTTGAATTTTTTGTTAGTTTTAATGATTCGGACTGATTTGGTGAGAATATTATATAAATGTAAAATTAAAATAAAACTGTAGAAAATTTTTGTATCGGGATTGCTTTAACATTTTGAAGTAAGATGACGATTAATAATATTTTTTATAAAATTATAGTCAAGTAGTACACTGTTTTTTTTATATTTATTTTATAGCAAATTTATATCAAGCGACATTTTTCAAAAAGTTCCTAATGAAAGAAACTGTATTATTTGCAAAATTATCTATTTAACAGAATAAACTATTTATTAATATCATACTGTAACTTTGTGAGATTAGGATGTGGTCCTACACCAGTAGATTTATTGCGCATAATCAATATTAATGTTAATAGTAATCATTTTAATAATTTTGTATGGCTTAACAAGTTGAAAAAAAATATTCTTCTATGAAATTCTCATTATTAGATTACTTGGTAAATAATCGATAATCGATTATTACTTAATACAGTTTAATAGGATATGTCGGTTCAATCAATTTAGCCCCACATTTTTAATTTTCATTTTTCCACTTATTATCACCAATAAATCTTACAAATGCGATAAAATGCCTTAGGGGTGATGCAGCAGTGGTGGCTCACTTCATGGAATTTTGTACTATAAAAACACTTTGTGAATATAATTACGATGAAAATGGAAGCACATGTGGGAAAGTTGAATTAATTCCGAAATACGATCGTTTACGATGGCATATTACTCCTGAATTGAATGTAATTTATTCTCTTATTTTAGCTTAATTTTAGCATATCTTTATATGTTTATTATCAATAATAATTATTGTTAGGAGCTTTTTTGTTTAAAGCAGAAGATAACGCATTGACTAGGAATGCTTACTTTAAAGGGTTGAAGTTTGGTAAATTCAATTCCATTATACGAATGGACTAATCAAACCGATCGAATTTCATTAAGAGATTAGTAAGCAGTATGCTGGGATTATTTCATCGTATTGAATATTCTGAGAATCGAATATTCAAATAACGAGTTCTTAATTTTGGCATGTAAATGTACCGAATAGGTTAAGGAATTTCCGAGACTAAAGTTTTTATATTTTTCTGTTTTAGGTCACAATAATGAAGTGTTTGCAAACAACACGTGCATTAATTGATGATGTAGAAGTAGCTGTACTGGTTTGGACTAAATATGGTAAAGGCCTGATAAAAAAGCTCCACGTATCACCAGATGGCTTTCTTCAGATGGTTTTACAATTGGCCTTCTACCGTGCAAGTTCTTGAAAAAACTTATTTGACCAAATTAAATTGAAAACTTTTGACAGATTAACTTTTTGCTTTATTATAATATGGTAATCTTTCTCTTTATTACATGTAGCCCACAGATGTAAATGGGCTTAGAGGTTAGAGGTCTTCCTTCATGCCTTGTTTCAAAATCTTCTGTTCTCAGTACCGTACAAAATGAGCTTCACTCGTCTTCAACATATGTATATGAAACATTTTTTGGTTTCAAATAACTTAGACCAGGAATTTCAGTTGATCGTAAAAAAGAAATTTTTAGCACTATTTTTAGTAAGTGTTTGTTTAGAATCAAGGGAAGTTTGCGTTGACTTATGAAGCAACAACGGCACGTTTATTCCGAGAAGGAAGAACAGAAACTGTTAGATCGTGTTCCTCATATAGCTGTGACTTTGTGCACGCTATGCTTGATCCAAATCAAACTGCAAGTTTAATTCTACTGTTTCATTTTTCAAACTATTTTTTTTTTTTTTTAAGACGAGTTCTTTTTGCAATCTAGTCGCATTTCGAAACAAAAACTAATGGAAGAAATAAGCAATATGAGAAGGACGTTTCATATTTTCAAACATTATCATATTTTCGTTTCATATTTCCAAACATTATCACTTGGATTGTCTGAATTCTTTAGTCATACATTCTTCTAATATTATTGAGGTTTAGATTAATATATTCTATATTTTAGCATCAAGAGAGATTGAGATTGCTTCATGCTGCGTGCAGATATCATCAAACAATGTATCGTGATGCGATGTGTGGCAAAGGAATTGATCGACATCTTTTTGCTCTGCAAGATTTAAACACATTTAAAAATTTTTAATATTATTTGAAATTGTTTGAAACTAAGATTCATGGATTTAGTTTGAAAAGTCACTGCCTTTCTTCCCTTAACCTGCACTCTATCGCATTTTTGGTGCAATATAACTTGCAATAATAGCGCAATTATAAGTTGGGAAGAACTCGGCAGGTTGATACTGTTAGTTGTGAAATAATTCCATTTGACCTATTGATTGAATGACCAAAGTCTCTGTTCAGTTGACCTGACCTCTCTTAGTTTTAGCATATTCCATCTAACACTGTAGAACTTGGATTCATTAAAGAATACAGCAAGGATGATTTCCTCCTTTTTATAGGTACATTGTTATGCGCTACTTAAAATTTCAATCACCATTCTTGGAAAGAATATTCCCGCCTACCTTTTTGCTTTCTACCAGTCAAACACCAATCAGTCAATGTGGAGAAGAATTAAAATACGTCAATGTGGACCCTCATGAATTTGCCACTGCTGGTGGTGGTTTTGGACCAGTAGCTGATAATGGTTATGGCGTTTCCTATATTATTGTTGGCGACGACATACTTTCTTTCCATATTTCATCGAAACGTTCAGCGGATAATACGGCATGTTTTAGACTTTTCTTATGTATCCCTTTTTACAAATGATTTTCGCTTCTCCAAGTACAATTAGATTTGCGAATAATTTTCTTTATAGAGGAAAAGCATATACATTTCTTCCATGCTCCAAATTTTATTCGAATAGTTCCATCACCCAATTATCCCCAAAACGATCCATTAGCCTTTTATGCGATTAGTTTTAATTCGAGCAATTAAAGTGATCTATTTTCAACCGCTTTCTTCGATTTATATTTAATCTAATTTACAGAGTTCAGCAAGATTACGAGATGATATCGCCAAAAGTCTTGAGGATATGAGCTTGCTTTTACAATGATAACAAATCACCAAAATCTTCAGAATGGTCCAATCATTCATTCAGCAACTGATCGGATATATGTGATAGTAAATGATAATAAATCAGAGATTTTCTTAAGCTATTTTTTATGTTATGTTAGCTTCCAAGCTGTCTTTAATGTACACATACCATATCATGCGAGAATTTTGTATAGTTAATTAAGACTTGCTCAATCTCACTTTTTTCTGACCTTCAACGATATTATGTTTAATTCATCCATATACATTTACATATATAATTTTGTTCCTATCATTAAATATACATTCTCCAACACAGCGTATATCACTGGATAGGTTTTTGAATCATTAGTCTACATGTAATATTAATATAAGGAAAGAATAGATCAAACATATAAGTTGATCATGGATAATTGAGTTTATGTTTTGCATTATTACAGCTCTGAGGGGATCGAGCTGTCAGTGTACATTGAAATAATAAATGTTTTAGATTTATGAAGTTACATTTTCATTATTCGTGTTGAGTTAAACGTTATAGCAAATTGGTATAGCCTCATATATCTTACTGTGATTTATAGTTTAGAAAAGAGCACATCTTTCAATCTTCTTGTAAAAAAGTTACGGGGTTATAAGAGGTCAAATTTTTTTAGTGCAGATTAGATTTTAATAATGCATTTCATTTACAATTTCAATGTACTGCACCAGTATCATTTGTCAGGTAACTTCTTTAAGACAGGTAAATTAATATAACTTTTTTTTTTCTGTAAAAGGATCAACAATTTGGGAGAATATTTTTGGATGCAATTATCCGTTTCTCGACGTTTGATAGCTAATTTGATTCATTTCCACAATGATACATTATGGGCAAATGAGATGAAGAATGTTTTGATGGAATGCTGTACAGTTATTCCTAATTTTATTACCGAACAAGAAGAAGCATCACTTCTAGATGAAATTAATCCACATATGAAACGAATGCGTTATGAGAAATCACATTGGGATGATGTAATGCTTTTTTTTTTTTGAATTTTATATCTATAATTGATTTATCGGATTTAATTTTGCAATTAAACTATAATCTGATTTTAAATCTTAAGCTATTTGAATTGCATTTATGCAATTCACGACTTTAATTTCACAAATTGTGATCCGAATTAATTAAAATTCAATTCAATTTACAATTCAGCTTACATCTGCTTTCTGACAATTTTTTTTCTCGATCTATGGTACTTTTAGAAATTAATAGTTATTAAAAAGTTAATGGAATTATTTTACTAAATACTAATACAATAATGTATAAATTTTACGAAAAAAACAACGTCATAGTTCACGTACGTTTTAACATTATAGCATCGATAGTTTTACGATTTATTTCAAGTCATACTTAACTTTTAACAAATTCATGCATGCTTCAATTTATTAGCTTGTATGTAAGCACTTCACTAAATGAAATTAACGTGTAATATTTAATATTTAATTTCAAAAAATTTAGGCTATTCATCTATATCGTGAACGAGAGCAGCTAAATTGGAGAACGGAAAATGAGGCTATTTTAGATCGAATTCGAAGGCATTCATTCAAAAAAGACGATAAGCAATATTCATTTGTACATATCCTTGATTTACACGAAGATGGTGTTATTAAACCGCATATTGATAGTACTAGGGTATCATTTCTTTCTTTTTCCTTTTTTCAAATTTATTTTTATATATTACCAAAAATTACATGACATTAAAATATTGATATAAAATACATTTTTAAGATAAGTTAGGTCTTTTTTTGATGTAAGAAATAATTTAATCTTTCTTATTTATCAGATTAATGATTAATAGATTGCTTCAAATAAGGAAAATGCTTATAATTCTTAGCTTATATTTCATATTTTTTGATTTTTTTTTCTTTTTTCAGTATTGTGGCGATATTATCACTGGTCTTTCCTTATTATCAGATGCTGTAATGCGTTTACGGCATAAGGATCAAAAAGATCAACTCATTGTTGATTTATTCTTACAAAAGCGAAGTCTTTACAAATTAGGGTAATATTTTTCAAAATAAATTTATTGTTTCATATTTTAGTTAATTTTAAGATTATTAAATTAAGATTTATGTTTCAGATGTAAACTCTAAGTTATTTCCTACAAGATATGTCTAGCATTTCATTGAAGTTTAGGAATGACCACGGTTGATATTATCAGCCTACTTCTTTATTATATCAAAAATGCATTATAACGGATAATCTATTAGGATCGGCTTTCTAATAGTTAAAAATGCTCTATTACTGCTGCTAACTGTCGTAATTATTTGCTTATTCAATTGGATAAAGTTTTCAGAGAAGTTAGTCGTTATGAATTTTATCATGAAATTCTCGGAAAAGCAGAGTCGTACTTCATGGGTAAGCCGATCCCACGAAGTCGTCGCATATCGATAATATGTCGTGATCTCCCACCCAATGTACAGGAAAATGAATTACCACTGCCAACAATGCTGCAGAAAAAAACAGTTGCTGCAACAAGCGATACTAATCAGATGATTTAGTTATTATTATGGCCAAAGTGAGCTTAGAAATTTTGTTTTTGGAAAGTCCAGAGATCAAACCCCCAAATATCTCTTTCATAAGAAAAATCTGATAATGGAGGTGGAGCAATTAGTACATAGTGGAAAACTGTCTATTGCTGAAATTGATTGCTGCAATTCCAAGTTAGTCTCATAAATAAAAATTCTGAACCACTCGTAACAGTGTATGTACTTGTTCCTTCAGGAAGTATCTGCTAGGATTTCTAATTACTGATAGAAAAATGAAATTTTGCTCTCCAGAGAAATCCCCCAGATTCATTTTATTACGTTCAGTAACGGTAGGAGAAACTAAACGTTTAACAATTATTGTCATGGGGAATTATCATGCACTTTAGAAGGTGCTACACTGAATCAATGATTATTTCCGGTGCTAATGCTATTTTTCGAACAGTACAAATTTAAAAGATATATCGGAGTTGCTATAGCACCAGAGCAAATTTTCCATACAAGTTTTGTTATAATATTTCAAAGTGAAACCATGATTATCACTTGATGCGAGCATATTACAATAAGAGTTCCATAAGTATAATACAACAAATCAACGACAGGAGAAAATAACACCGTTCCATTTCGCAAAGTTTAATCGGACATTTACTGAAAATTTTCATGAAGAGGAGGGTTCTCCAACTAAACTTTGCATTGAGAAACTGCCATTTCAAATTCTTTCGAAGTGGAATTAAGAATTTGTGCTCAACCCGGAATGTTGATTTCTTGGTCCTTTTCCCGAGTTCTGAATCCCAGTGCATCAAAAATTTTGATTCCCGAAAATTTGTAAATTTCAGTCAAAAACAGCTCTTACTTCACTAATTGAACTGATCAATATATTGGGAAAATATATTCCTCAATCTATCACATCAACGCAGCTCACGCTTCGAGAAGAGAATCTGTGTGACTGGGAATTATTACTTTTGGCAAGGGTATATCTGATCTGTTTTTCGCTCATAAGCAGCTTGGAAAAAATTATGAGCATGATTATGATAAATTTTGAAATACTTCGCAGTTTTCAGAAAACAGTATTCTAGAATGACTTCATAGAAATTTGACACGAACAATCTGAAATTTCGAACTTTAATCTGATTCATTCCCGACGTAGATTTTCCAGTCTAGCCTGTAGATCGGCGTCCGCATCCGATAATACTACCTGCGGCTGTCGGTTTTGATCAGCCGCCTTCAGTGAACTCTGTGCTGTAGGTATTGCCGAGAGTTCCTCATTCATCTGGATTCCTAATTCATCTAGTACCTGGAAAAAGATGGTGTAAACTTCGGAAATCAAACCATTACCTTTTTTTTTTCTTTTTCTTGTTAAATTACGGTCTACAGAATGTTACAAATTACGGTCTACAGAACGCCGTACGACGTGGAAACATTCCTTCGTCTACTGGGACATTCTTTAGTAGTGAATCGTGGGTTAACAAAACAAAAATCTAGAAATTGTCAAAAGCTTGCCAACGTACTACCTCTTCTCTTTGAAATAAAAACTTGATGAAACATCAAGCGAGTCTCGTCAGTTACACTTTACTCAAATGCAAAAACAGTAGCTGAAGGAATCCCACAGCAAATATCATATGAACACATAAGCATCATGCATTTTTAATCCGTCTCTTCGACAATCCTCAACTTATCCTTGGCTGCCATTAGCACTTAGAGAAAAGAAAACTGAATATATACACTAATTAAAACGATGAAAATTTACGAAAAATTGCGCAATCTATACCTGAGCAACAATTGCTTCCGTTTCCTCCTCATCACCCTCATCTGCAATGGCATCATCGACTGCTTCACCCATCATTTCTTCTTTCATATCCATAATTTCTGACTGCCTTTCAAATTCCATCATTATTTTCTGGATTTGGGGCAAATTTAGTTGCCGATTCATGTTTTGCATTGCTCGCGTTACCCCTTTCATTGCTTGTGCCATTGCATCTTGACTTTTCAGAGTTTGCACCTACAAATTATCCATCCTTAACATCGATGATAGAATCCATTTAAGATGTTTAAAGGCAATTACGATCAGCAGTATCCACATGCAGTTTGATTAAAAAATGGTTTAATTTGAAATGCTACATCTCACTTTGCATTTCGGATGCCACATTAAAAACCATCCTAAGTTTCGAAAGACAAAAATCTTAGAATGGTTTTATATCTTATATAACAGCTATAGGTAAGATAATTAAGACG